GCTCCCTGTGCCTTGGTTTTCTCTCTGTGTAATAGGGACCACAAGCAACTCCTGCCTAGCAGCAGCTGGAGGGGATTAGATGGGGTGATACCAGTAGAGCCTGGAAGGCAGCAGGCATGGCAGCGGCATGGTGGTGGGCACACGGCAAGTCCTCGGTGGAGGGGAACTGCTCTTCTCCCTGCAGTTCAGGGCGCGTGGGCAGGGAGGAAAGGAGCCCAGCCAGGAAAGGAACTACAGTTTGTCCCTTCAACAGATACTGATCAAGTGCCCAGTGATCAGGCACTGACCCAGGGCCTCTGGCATTGCCACCATGCCCTGTCCTCAAGAAGTGTACCCTCCATCATGGAAACAGAGGTGGGGTGCTGGGGTTGACTCCAGTGACCCTGAGATTACAACCTGCAGTGGTGCATGCTCTGGGCAGGGTTCTAGGTGAGGACTCCATGCAGGTTCCTGGAGGGGTGGGGCTATTCCAGCAGACTCCAGGGGTTTCCATGGACTTTTCATCCTCCTCCAGGGCAGAGCTCTTTGAAGCCTATTCCACAGCTCAGAGCCAAGGTCACACAGCCAGGGGGGAGGCATAGTGGGGAGGGTCAACCCCCGATTTATCCAAACGGAACTCAGCCCACATAGTCTCCACTTCTCCTCACTCTGCTGGCCGTTACAATTTGGGCTCAAGGAAGGTCACCATTATGTGTCCCCAGGAGAACAGACTCTCATGGTGCTGAGGCAGATGGGTTTTCTGTCCCTCATCATCCAGCTGTGAGTGGCAGGGCCCTTGGGGGAAGTCCAGTCATTAGGCCCAGAGAAGAGCCAGCGGCAGCTCTGTCACTCAGCCTGGGGACAGAGGGCCCCTTCAGGTCCTGAGGCTGAGAGGAGGTGGCTGCTGGAGCAGCTGGCGAAGGAAGGACATTCCTCAGCTGGTGGTGGTCACACTTGTGCCCAGTAGGCCTGGAAGGAGATGGAGAGCCAGAGGCCGAACTCCAGAGGGTGCTTGCTCGGCATAGCAGGTTCCAGAGCTCAATGTCCGGATCCCATCTTCCTTCTGTCACAACCATGAAGGAAAATCCTATGTTCAATGGTCGCCTTTAGGGCATGCTGAATCCATTATTCAGAGTGCAGTGGCCAGCCACAGCCACCGGGAAGGTAGAGCAACAGGCAAGACCTGCCACCAGGGAGTTCTCAGGCCCCCAGAGGACAGACGCACCGGAGGGTGTAAAACAGCCTTAAAGTTCACGTGAGGCCGCACTGGGCGCCTGGGGAGCTGGTGCAAGACGGCCAGTCCAGCCTGTGAGTTCACACAGGCCCCTGGAGCCATCACGTGGGAGTCCAGCCGTGTTAGGCAGCCCAGGTGTAAGTCGGGATGAAGCATGGCCTGAGAACTGCTGTTCCCCGCATCCTGGAGAAACTCAGGGCAGCGTCCAGCCTGCTCTCCAAGGTGGCTTCTGAATAAGGCCTAGCTCACAAGGCTGGTCACTTCCTCTCGCCCCTCACCCCAGACTCCCAGACACCCATGCTTCATCCTGACTGTTTTGTAAAACAGCAGTTTGCCATGAGCTAGTCCATCGTGAGGAGCAATGCCCAGGACCTTGTGTGCAAGTGAACAGTCGCCATCTGCCTGGCCCCCACTCCCAGACATGTGTAAAGAACGGGCACCTTCTCAATCCAACCCAGGACACCTGGACACCTCCCAGATCACATCAGGAGCCCTAGGCAGAGAGCTCATCAGCCTCACCAGATGCCACACCCTCACTTCAGACCCATAAAAGGAGGAGCCCCCCAAGACTGGACTTGGTGGCACTCTGACCCCATCACCTGGTCACTTGTCACAAGCCTTGCCCAAGAAAATTAAGATTGGAATAAAAGAACTTGTGTCTGCCTGGCTTATGACGACCAGGTGACCCACAAGCCTTCCAAGTACTGCCACCCATGGAAGCGGTGTGCCCTGTGAATCCATTGCTCTCCAGAGAATCCTGACGTTGTGGGAAGACACCACGTGCTTGGTCCATGTTGAGGGCGCAGCTCATCTGCAAAGGCCCCCCAAGATTCCTTTTGTAGGCAGAGCAAGCCAGGGCGAGGGATGGGGAGGTGAGGGGACGGCGGGACGTGGGAAGGCCCCTGGCTTTCCTGGCGGCACCCACGGCTCTCACTGGCGTGGATGGGACGTTCGTTAAGGCACTTTGTCATAAAAACTAAACGCCAGCCTGTGGAGACATGGCTCAATCATTCTGGTGTGCGGAAAGCTCACACTCATGGAAAAAGCCCTCCGTGACAGTCTAGGCCCCCCTCCTAGACATGTGTAAAGAACAAATGCACAGAGTGTCCATTCATAAGAGCGGCAGGGAAGGTGTGTGGGCGCTCTCGGCCACGCTCTCCAGGATCCCGGCCTCCTGTCCACGCCTTCCGTAAGGTGGGGGACACCACTTCTAAGTAGGCCATGAAGCACCGTGACTGGCTCTCTTTCCACCTTGTCCCTGCACACTCTGAGGGAGGCTCAGGGACAACAGCCACCAGCCAGCTTGAGCCAAGGAGCCAGGACCCAGGGCCTGAGGAGCGGGCACTGTGGTGGTTGAGGGCCATCTGCTCTGGGGCCTGCGGCCACAGCCGAGAGCACCTCTGAGGAATGGGCCCCTGGCCTGTGCGGCGGCCCTGGACAGCAGGATCAAGGGGGGAGGCGGCTCCTCACGCACACTTGGGACCTTGAGGTGTGGAGCCCAGTGAACAAATAGCAATTCAGCAAAGACACAGGGACCCTTAGAGAAGGTGGCACAGGGAGTCCCGAAGGAGGGAGAAGAGGATGGACCGAGGCCCAGGCCCCCACGCCAGCCTCCCATGGGGTCTAACCAGCAACGGACCAATGACACGGAGTCCAGGGGGCGGCTCAAAACACACACAGGTGCTCAGTGTTCCACTCACCACGCACCACTGAACACCACACACCACACCCTGCAGAGGCCACACACACACACACACACACACACACACACACACACACAC